TGTTCGAATATACAGAATTCTCTTTATTCTCGTGTGAATGTAACAAATTTTGTACTGTGATTTAAAAAATTAAGTAATTTCTTTGGATACTATTATTAACATAAATAATATTTTATTAGAATAATTTATGCTGCTTTTGTTGTACATTTGTTGTAATTGTATACTTGTTAAATAACTACTGAAACAACGTTCACAGGACTATTTTTGATATTATATTGGGACTCTCTTCAATTAATTTAATTAAATTAAAATTTAATTAAAATTTAAAATACGTATAATTACAACCAATATTATTTACAACAAGACAATATGTATTAATTATATTAAAATATTATCTGTGTTAACAACAATGTATGAGCCATTTAGTTTTTAAAATTTGAGTAAAATATAAATTATCTATCGTTCATATAATTAACGTATACTTCAGTCATTGTCAATAAAGGATATTAATTTCATTAGACATCGCAACAACTCAAAGATGTTTCCATCTTGATTTAAGAAATTATAATTATAGAGAATTAATATTAAATAATGTTAAAATGACGTAGACATCAAACGTTTTAATAACGAATAAGTATCTAGAAAAACGAATTCTTTATCTTTTTCTATATTTTTTAATGAATTTTACATATTTTGATTAAAAAACCATTTTGAATCATAAAGAACCCGTTTCTTACCTGATACTTTTTTTGAAATAAAAAACCTATTTTTTTAATCTCTAAGAATGACTACAAAAATGCACTATTTAGCAATTATTGGAAAAATCACAGCAGCCTATGGCCATAATATCCGAGTTTACCCTAATAACAAAGTAAATTACTTCATATGTCGTATTACTTTTGTTGAAATTTGATTCTTTTTTTACGAACAGTTAACAATTTGTATGATTAATTAACTTTTACGATCAACTAAATTTTGATTATATGTTTTCGCATGATTGCGTCTCAATTAATCACTAATTCGACTTTATTAATTAGATAGTATTGAAATATCAATATCATTTTCGAATCTGTCGGTCATAAACGAAATATCGCATACGAAACAGATCGACTTTAAATTAAACGTTCAATGATGTGTCACTAATGAGATTCGTAATCAAACTTGTATTTTAATATTCATCTATGATCTTTACATCTAACAAATTCAGAATTTATACAATGTGATTTAATAAAATTCTTTGCCATTTGAGATTTTTTTATTCATTGTATATACATATGTATGTATATATCAGGGTTGACAAGTAACGTCATTACCGTTACAAGTTACTTTTTTTGGTAACATTTGAGCAACGATATTACATTTTCTTCTGAATAACGTTCATGATAACGCAGTTAAATTTTTGGGATAATGGTAATGATTGCACTAGTTACTTTTATCGTTACTTTATTTCTATTTAAAAGTTTTAATCATAACTAGAGCGTATATACATATTTATCAGTCTTTTAGTTTTTTCCTCTACTAAAAACAGAATTCTTCCATCTTTTTTATAGTTACCGCAAGAATCTGCATATAATAGCGTTTTTCATTAGCAGAATTAATACGCATTCAGTGCACTTTAAAGCCGCTGTATAATCGACGTAAAGATGTATGGTTAATAAAAATATAGAAACGAGTTAAACTGCGAAATTCTCAATACATTTTATTATGTTATTTGATAAAATATACTTTAAGCATTTTATCCTCTCAGATATCTCATTTTTACATTTAGATTAGAGTTGTGTACAACGACTTTAATGTGCATTGAGTGCGCACAAATTCTGCCAATAAAAAATATTCTTGATACTAATATTCTATTAGTATCAAGAAAAAAAGTAACAAAAATAACGATTCGTTACATTTTGAGTAACAGTAACGGTAACCAATTACTTTTGCAAATCAATAACGAGTAACAAGTTACTTTTTAGGAAAAAGAACGATAACAAGTTATTTTTATGAGGAAACGTTGCCAATTCTGGTATATATATATATATATATTAGACTGACAAGAAAAAAAAAATTTTTTGTTTAATCGGCCTCTCAGCTTAAAAGCTTTCATTTGATCATTTTTTCATATTAAGCAGTATTTCTTGAGACGTATATCATAGAGCTAAATAAATTATTGCATTGTGTTCAGCGATCAAAAAGACATACAGTACCACATTTAAAATCCGGATTAAGCCATTTTTGTATCAAATCAAACATGTATTAAAAAAAATCGAAACTGATTTAAAAATTGCTCACTAGCGACCCCTAAATCTTAATATTTTTAAATAAAAATTTGTGTTCTTTTGGCATGAAATAGAAGCTTTTGAGCTGAGAGGCTGATTAAAAAAAAATTTTTTTTCTTGTCAATCTAATATATATATATATATATATATATATATATATATATATATATACACATACAAATATACACAAAACGAATAAAAAATATATATACATACACGCGTGCGCGACAAATTTGCGAATGTCAAGAAGATTACAAAACTTCATACTCTTTTCGCGTTCTTCTTCCGTTGCAATATATAATAGTAAAATGCACGTCGTGTGAGATTAATGTCGGGAATACCATGTAAAGTGCTGTGAGATAATCTTATTCTGGTAATTAGTACGTGTAATCGTAATTAATTGTGTTTTCGCGAGTGTCGTGAGTGCAACGAACGAATGTGACAATGAGAGGAAGAGGAAAATGTGTAGAAGGTGTGGTGCGCGTGAAGCTATCATATATAAGGTGAATAAATATAATATCTCATAGAGAGACTTATTACTTTAGAATAGATATAGTATTCGAAGATACAAAGATACAATAATACAAATATATATGTAAATATATTTGTGGAATTAATAGAATTTGTCAATTTTTTAAACATTTTATACAATTGTCAAGTATAAGTAAGATTTTTAGGAGAGTCATAATTTAAATTATTGAAAACACTACGAAGATACATAGTACATTAATAATTTCATTTTGTTAAAAGTGATCTTTTGTCAAGGAGAATATAATACTTTTAATTTCTGTATTCATTACTGAGATAATTAATAAAAAAGCAAGAAAAAAAAGGAAAAAGAAAATTAATTCATATATAATATATAAAGTACCGACATATATATATATATACATTTTTGTGATATTTTATTGAAATGATGATTTTTTATTTGAATTTCTTTATGGTGTTTGTATTTTCCTCGTGATTAAAATAACATGTTTATATTCGTTCAATACATATGTATATAAAATAAAATATCTATTATATTTTAATACAAGAGAAAAATTGTTAATTCAGTTACTTTATTTTTTCTTTTTTAAATTGTTAAAGTATTAGGTGTTGGAATTAATTCGTAGCGTTTTACAAGTGATGGGAAGTACTTTCATTAATGTATTTTTTAATGCTCATGTGAAATAAATAACATTCTTTCATTAAAAACGCTACGAATTAATTCCAACACCTAATAGAATTTAAAATCTGTGTTTTAACCTTTATAATTCTAGGATTAAATATTATATGAGTTGTAAGAATAGTGCTACATTTACAGGTTTTTATGTTTCACAAATACATAATTAAAAGAACATAAATATTTCAGCGTTAGCTATTTCAACTGATTTATTTAATTAGATATTTTAAATAATTTAATTTAAAAAAATATTAATATTATTATTAATTATTTATTTTTATAATATATAAGTCAATTTTATTTTTAATAAAGAAGGATTATTAAAAAGAATATCAAAATTACTAAATGTCATATGAACATATAACCTAAGTATAAAACAGAGATATGAATAAGAACGTAACAGATATAGCGATTTATTTAAAAAGGGAATATATATTTTCCAGAAATTTAATTTTTGTGATAACTTCTATTCAGGTGAAATTATATTGCGGGATTGCAGGATAAAGGGATTGAAATCATAGATCATATACCAAATTCATAGACACATTCATCAAACGTGCCGCGTAATTTATTCATTGATATCAGAGGCTGCCTATTGTTTCCAGATTCGTTTCCACAATTCATTATTCGAACACTAAATGCCTATGGATTTATTGTTCTGTTAACTAAGCAGAGTATTATTGTATACGCTTACATAACACTGGTTTACTTTTGAAATGATCGTAAATAGATTATTGTCACTGATGATGATTCCTATATTATGACAAACCTTGCCAACAATATTCCGAAACAACCGCAAATATTATTGAATGCTAATCATATTCTTCTCTTTCCGTCAAACATTAATGAAAGTTTATTATGTATTACGATATCGAGAGATATTTATTTATTATTTAATTATTATATTTAACAGACCGCTGAAATAAGTAAATATATAAAAAAAATTTGTTTATTTAAAAAATATTGGAATTTATAATATGTAGCGTTGTTCTTGTTTCTTTTTTGTTTATATATATATATATATATATATACGTACAAAAACGTTATAAATATAAGAAAATTTTTATTGATTTTAATGATAATTCTTCCTATATTTATCACGCTTTGTATATGCATTGAGATTAGACAAAAAAAAGCAGAATAATGCTATACATAAAGTAAATTCATTTGCAATATTTTTTTAAATAAATTTATTTTTTAATTATTGATTTAATGTTATGATGGTACATTATCCTGAATCAATAATTTAAGAAAAAAAATGTATTTCAAAAATATATAAAATAAATTTGCTTTATATAACAATCTTATCTTTCTTTTTTATATATTAGTATGAGTTTCTATATGAAACTAACTTACTATTTTATTGCAAAATAAAATAAATTTTCGATAAAGCTGGCTCAAGCAAACGAGCGTGAATATGCGGAAGTGAACGATTTGCTTCAATGAATACCACCGTAAATACTGGCGACGCCATTTGCTCATTAAAACAGGTTTATTTGCATGATTTTGGCTTCATGTATATCAAAAGAACATATTATGAATTCCGTACCGAGAACGCCCAATATTCCACACGACGTATCTAACATTTCCAATCGATTAACATTACCTCCATATCTTTCTGCGATAAGGTTTGATTGTGGCAGCGGTGTGGGCACCGTGAGGAGCACGGAAACGGTGAAACTGAATGAGTGGAACACCCTGAGTGTCTACAGACATCGATGGGATGCCTGGATCCAGCTGAATCAAGAGAAGAGGGTAGAGGGACGATCGAAGGTAAGGGCACTTCATTTTATTTCCATCAAGGCCAGACGCCGGATATTATTTACCCGCATATACCGCGAATTCAAGGAGGGAATCGATATTCCGCAGTGAGGCGGGACGTATTATCGGGATTACCAGTGAGAGTTTATTCGAATTCTCGAGATTCTTACGGTGACGTTCACACGCTCGATCGCCTCCCCTAGGACTTTTCGCTCGTGTTCTACGTAAAAATAGAATGAGAAAACGAAATTCAATTGATTGCGATAATAGTAATTCATTGTCGCTCGTAGCGATAAATAAGCATTGTGTTTCATTATGTACACATTAATTTGAAATATTATTTATTAAAATCTCTCTCTCTCTCTCTCTTGTTGTTGTTTTAATAGATTTTTAGTTAAAATAATTATAAAAGATGCACGAATTAACGATATAATAGAAAATGAATTTATAATTCGTATAAAATTATACATTATATCATGTATCAACGATACTTACTTATTTTATTCGAATATGTCAACGTTTATGGTCAGCTGCAGTAAAATAAAATTATTTCTATTCGACGAAATCTACTTTCATGAAAAGTTTAATGGCACCAGGGCGGAACCAACATTAAACGCTGTTGTATCTCACGGAAACTTCCCGGAAACTTTAATGAGAGAATGTAGTCCGGAAATTGAAGAAACGTTCTTACATTTCGTAACTTCTTTCTAGGGTATTTCATGTGGGCAAAATTTTTGACTTTCTTTTTTTTTTATTTTACGCGCAAAGTTGAAACTTCGTTGCGAGTTATATTGATATGTGCTAAAACACATTATACAATGTTGCCGCAACAAAACTTCTTGAAAATTCTTTCTTTGCTTTCTTAAAAATTCTCATTTTGCTATAGAAGCAGCAAAAGCTTCGCATGAGAAGTTCCCTGTATTTTCGCTATCCTAGATATTGCAAGAAATAAGATGTAAACTTTGAAAAGGTCACAATTCCCTCACCACACAAAGTAATAAATCTTATATTGTTTTACATAACAAAATATATACATATATATATATATATATATATATATATAAACAATATTTTCCAAGTACATTACGTAGAACATTTTTAATAAAATGATTACTTAATTAATATGATTACTTAATTTAAAGTTAAGTGTATAAATGTGTGTCACAAATATGTCATTAAAAATTAGAAAGTTACAATAAATTGTAACTTTTCTCAACATCGTTGTTTAAAAAGATATTGACCGAAAAAATTGACCAAAGAATTCAAAGTAAATAAATACGAAATAAAGATAATTATGAGATAATAACATATATATAATGAATGAGAAACTGAAAGAGTACGAATAATCTGATATAAATGGCGCGGGCGGAGGTTAAAAGCGAAGAACCACACCCCAGAACGAGGCCGCACCTTCTCGATCAATCTAATCAGAAAAAAGTGCCACTACCCATAAAACATGTCTGAATAAGGTACTTCCGGCCAAGTAATCATCTATCGATTTCGCTCTTTCCCATATTAATCCGCTTCAATCAATTACTTTCACGTTCGTTCAGAGTTTGTTAAAATAACGTAAGTAGAAGATCGCGTAATAAAGCAAATCCACGTAATAAATGGAAATTCGTCGAAATGCATTTAAATATTGCAGAAATGTATCGTTACGTAGCCATTGTGTCAATTTATGTAATTGTCGATTAACAGTCAACTAAAATTGGAAACAAAGTTTGAGAAATATATTTTAGTATTTGTATCTTGAGTATAAGTAAAAATCAAATAATATTATAAATAAAATTATTTTAATTTTATTTAAGAATTTTAAGCACGATCGTATGTGTGAATACATCAAATACGATAAAGAAAGCCAAGAACGGTCAAAGTTTATTTCAGATTGAGAGCCGAAAAACTTTCGGTTTCAACACAATCATTCTGAAACGCTAATAACCTCCCTAAATTAGAATAGGCAGAAAGAAAGTAAAAAACTTATTGCGAAAGATATTACCTCAGCCAGGATCATATCTAAAATAAATTAATTTAATATAAGAATATATAATGAATTATTTGAAACATCCAACTTTAACCGTTCTCGGCTTTCTTTATCGTATTTAATTTTACTTATTTTTAATATAACAAATTTATTGATATACATATCATAGTATATCATATTTTTTACAACCTTATATTTATTCCAAAACTTACATTTTAATTTGTAACTTATAAACTCAAAATAAATATAAAAAATATTTATTATTAGTATTATTAACATCAATAATAATTCAAATATATATATAAAAATAAAAAGATTCTTCTTTTTTATAATTTATGTAATTATAGAATATCAGTTGCATATTGGCAAGTATTAATATTGTATACGCAATATTATCGCCTATTAAACAGAAATAATTATTTTATAATTATGAAGAGAAAGAGAGACAGAGAGAAACAATAATCATTACAACAATTCCTATCGATTCAATTATCTCATATTACCAAATTCAATTCATAGATCGCAAAATTTCAGTATTCAATTACATTTGAATAGGATAGAAATCTTTTTCTATTATTGTTAAAAAAATATACAGATATATCAAAGATATTTTCGTTTTTTCATGTACTATGATATGATGCATTAGTAAATTTTTATTTGCAACATATATATATATATATATATATCGCGTAATTAATTAATCATAATAATCAATTAATACATTTAATCTCCTAAACTTAATATTATACAATATTAGATTATATTGTAATAATTTAATTATAGTTTTAACAACTAAAATAGAATCAGATTAGTTTCACCCTGGTTACAAACTTTCGCGTCTTTAAAGTTTGAAAATCGCGCTTAATTAAAAGTCAATGATTTAATTTACGATGCTTCAACGTGCCGCAGAATAATGTAACTCCTTTCTAATGCAAACGCCGTATAATGTTCTTTGACGCACGTTTTCATAGTTCGTTTTGCAAACGAATACACAAATCTTATTGTCAACTAATCCGTTACTTGTTTTAATTGTATTCCGTACTTGTTACGCATTTCTTGCTCTTTTTTCTTAATTTGGTTTGCATCGTTTCTTCTGCGACGCCCATTTGCCTTGTTATTTTGCAAATGAGATGCAGCGCCGAGAACGAAGGATCAGAAATGTAACTAAGACTTACGAAACGTTTTTACACTGGTTATAATGGATAACCTTTCAGGAAAAAATGTAAAGTACTAGATTACTATTATATTTTACAAAGTTCTTATTAATTTGAATGTTTAATAATAGATTCTTATATACTCTTAAATTTTTAAACATAATTACTTATCCTCTGTTGCACAATTTGTTATACATTTTACAAAATAAATTGACATTAAGAGAGAGAGAGAGAGAGAGAGAGAGAGAGAGAGAGAGAGATAGAAGATACTTTTAAAAAATTATTTAGTAAATGTAAATATATAAATATGATGAACATATTCAAGTTAATCGAGTTTGATAATTACCAATGAGTGAACACTGAATATTAAGAGAGCAAGTACCGTCGATAAATGTCTCATCTACTTTTTTCTACCAATCCTCTTTCTTCAACGAGTCTCTCAGGCATCCAGTATAGCGGTATGATAACGAGGAATTATCGGTTGGTTCTCGACCCATCTGTTTTTCCCAGGCTAGGTTTAATTACCTTTAAAATCGGGCAGCATCGCCGGCAAATGGCTTCGCGTTTCAAGCCCACTTTATCCTAGAGTGCCATTAAGCACTCGGTGTCCTAACGACAGCGTCGTAATTAGAGAAGCCATCCCTGACCTCTCCGCTGTCTTCTTCTGTTCTCACCAGCTTTTTCTCTTTTTTCTCTCGCCCACCCTCCCTCTTTTTTCCCTTTGCCACATTCTCTTTTCTTTGGAAAAAAGAACAAGAAGCTAAAAAGAAACTGATAACCAAAGCCTTCGCGATCGCGCGCACGATCTTTTCATCCGATTTGAGGAATTTCCTTTAAGAATGGAATTCGAGAAGCGACGATAGCCTACGATCGCGCGAGACGCGTGCGTTTGAATACAAAATGCACGATAAAACGACGTCATGTATGACAATGGGCATAGTTTGTCGTCGATAAAAGGTAGAAAATGTGAAAAATGCGCCATACAAAAATAACACGGATTTTAGAAAACATGAAAGAATTTTCTATTTTGTCATTCATAATGTTATCGTGCTCCTTTTGCAATTATTGCTCCATCATAGTTATCGACTTTAATTTTAATTTATTCATTTTATAATTAGTGTTTCTTGACTCACAGTGTATTATTTGATTAAAGACTTTTTGCAACAATTTGTCACAAACATCTTAACATTTAAATTTTTTAATTAAATAAGAGGAATCCTATATTCTGGTAAAGCGGATTTTAGCGCTTAAATAATACTGTGTGGATTACATATTTGATTCTGCAAATCGTGTGCCAACATCTTTTTTAATCTTAAAAATCAATCAGAACCAGAACCAGAGTATTAAATCACTTATCAAGCAATTTAATAATTTTCGATGCTAATAAGCATAAAAAATTATTAAATTTTATAAGAATATTAATATAATCAGATATTAATAAGAATTTTAAATTTGCGAATAATTTATTGAGAAAAATATTGCTTCAACTGGGATTTAAACCCGGATCTCTTGTATTTCTTGCAGACATCCTCACCATTCGATCACCGAGGTAATATTTGTCAATTTAATAAATGATATTACTACTCTAGCTCTGCACATAATTGCATTTCGAAATAGATTTCGACGCGCGGTTTGTAAAATCAGATATGTATATATAAACTTATAAACATTTAACTCTTTGCTGCATAGTGTCCTGTATAAAAGACGTTTCCTACTACAGTTTGCATTTATAAATTTAAAATAACAAATCCAAAATAGCGTCAAAATGATTAAGACGTGTTAAATTCTATAGCTTTTTTAATAAAACTTTACATATACAGGATGTTCCGAATTTAAATGTCTAAACTCGGAACATATAGAGGATTGATAAAGTAAGAAAAAAAAGTCCTGTAGAGATATGTTCGTTGTTTTGTTTTGGAAAAAAATCGTAAAAAAGACAAAACGTAGTTTTCATTTTTATACTTTCTCATTACTTATTTATGTTGTATTTATTCATTTGCTTAATGTAGATATTGTTATATAAATGTTGGCCTTTTGCAGCAATGCAAGCATTGCATTTAGTACGGATAGCTTATGTTGCAGTCAAATACTGATCTGGCGATTTGATGCACTGCAGCCTCGATTCGATTTCTCAATTGTTCTCTTGAATTGACTAGCGATGAATAAACTTCCTGCTTTGGGACCCCTCCCCCCCCCCCACTAAGAAGTCCAGTGATGTCAAATCAAGTGATCGGGATGGTCAAGGTATTACTCCTCCACATTCAATCCATCATCGTGGATAATGGTCTGTCTAGCCAAGCTCGAGTAATTGTGCCATGATGAGCTGGACATTCGTCGAGTTGAAACCTCATTTCAATCCTTATTGCAGGATGTCTTCTAAATAATCAAAGAAATCACATGGAGGAGTAGTACCTTGGCCACCCCGATTACTTGATTTGACACCATTGGATTTCTTTATGTGAGGAATAAACTTCCTGAAGCAGGAAGTTTATTCGCCAGTCAACTCAAAAGAACAATTGAGAAATCGAGTCGAAGCTGCAATTCATCAAATATCGCCAGATCAGAATTTGGCTGCAACACAAGCTGTCCGTACTAGATGTAATGCTTGCATTGCTGCAAAAGGTCAATATTTTGAATAATATCTACAAGCAAGTGAATAAATACAACATGAATAAGTAATGAGAAAATACAAAAATGAAAACTACTTTTGTCTTTTTTGTGATTTTTTTCTAAAACGAAGCAAAAACGAGCATATCTCACAGAACTTTTTTTCTTAGTTTATCAATCCTCTAAACGTTCTCGAAGTTTAGACATTTAAGTTTGGGACGCCTTGTATATAGATACATAAGATAAATAAATAAATGCAGAAATAATTAGGGTGATAAAATGGGATGAAATCATTCTTTATACATATATAGAACAATTTTTGGTTTTTTTTTCTTATATCTCAAAGTTCGAAATATCAAAAAAAGTTTTATATAAAAGTTTTATAATAAAAATTATATTATTATATTATAAAATTATATTATCTCTATTTAATTACATTAGCAACATTAGAAAAAAATTTTTTTAATTTATCTTTTTGCAATCGTTTGTAGGAAAAAATATCTATTGCATATCTTCCACCATTATCCATTATTTTTTAAATTTTGAGATTTGTAATTCCAAAACGATTCCAAAACCTATATATTAAAATTCAGTAAAATACGTTCAATAAAAAAATTTATGCAACAAAAGGTTAAGCTAAGACTCGCTTTGATATAAAATTGAGTGTAAGATTTCTGTTATTCAATTAGATTTATTTCCATTTCTCTGTCCAAATTCATATCATAATTATTTTAATTTTCTATTATCATATTAATTAATACAGTAGAGCATTAATTAAATTTTTTTAAACATAAAATCTCTGTGAAAAATGTAATCTATACTCATAGTTTTACTGTATTTTATTACTTAAATATATACTTAAATATATACTTAAATATATAATTAAAATATATATTTCGTAGATAATTTTCATATTGTTATGATATATTGTTGTCTTATAATGCGATCGCATGGCGCTACAAATGCTTCGAAGCATTTTTTGATTGGTCAATTAGTAAAATTCTTTCTTCCGATTGGTCAATCAAACGTTTCGTAGCATCAAGTAGACCATAGAAAGTAGACCGTAGCCATAGAAAGAATAGAAAATATACGCGCGAAAGAATAGAAAATATCATTGGGCTTATACTCGCCAAAGAAATAGCATTGAACAATGGAGTAATTTTATGCATTAACCAACCGTGCAATTGTGCCAGTTTATGCGTTACACAACTACATATGTATAACTATATATGTATATAGAGAATTCCGACTTCAATTGCAGGGTTTGTTCTCGAGAATTACGTTCCGCGAACCTCTCTTCGTTGGTGGACCCGGAAACACGACCGGTTTGGAGCGACTTCCGGTGAGGACTGGATTTAAGGGCTGCATCCGGCATTTGGAGGCGAACGAGCACCATTATCGCTTCCCATTGGCCCCGCAGGGCGATGCCGCGAATGGATTCGACATCGGTGAGTACCGCATCGCGGCGTAACATCCGGTTTCGGCATTTCGTCGAGCCGAAGTTTCCTAATCGTCGAACTCTCGTGATCGGTTTCGAACAAGGATTGAAGTAGTTTCAACAGCGATTCTATGTCGGTATTGAATTTATTTTTCTACCCCTTTCTAACAGCCGATTATATAATCGTAATTTTGATCTCAGAGTATATGGAAATTTAAAAATACGAAAAAACAGCATAATAAAATGTATATTAATAGATTAGTATTAGTATATAATTTTGTTAGTTTAAGATTTATTGTTATTCAAAACATTTTTCGCAACGTGATATTACAATTATAGTTCTCACCAGTAAAGTGCGCGATATGCGAAGGTTTGAGCTTCTTAGAGAATCTGTTCTCAGCAACGAAAAAAAAGGAAGAATATATTTTCGAGTTAAATCGAGCGGGCGTTGGAGGATTTGCCAACTAAATTCATGTGACACCTGTTGTCCGTTTGCCGATATAGCTGCTAATTCGGTCACTCGGTAACGCTCCATCGCGCATTTTGACCGATCATGTCGTAGATGCAAGACAGCTAATTAGAGTTCATAGTTATTAATTGTATCAAATATTTTAACTCTGGTCCTACGTCAACTTTGCAGCTGTCGCGCGACGGAGAATAAATAATAATAATAAATCTCTACACACGGGCGCGCAAGTCGTCTTTTATTATTTCGTTGTTTGCACGATAATAAATGATGTACCAGTCTCATATTAAATGTCGTATTCTCTTTTTTACAACTAGTGATAATTTATTAGAAGGAAATTCGCGTTGCACTGTTATATGAGTTATGAGTTTGCTTATGTCAACTGTTTATGAGAAATGCATGAACAGGCTTTTTCACTCTACAAAGATGATTATGTATTCAATTAAAATGGATTCAATACATGACGGTTATATAGCGTACTCGTCATATTGATGTTAGAATTTCATTTTGAACGGCATACATTTTTTACGGTAGACTATGTTTTGTACCAAGTCCAAAACAACATCATATAAATGTCTAGTCTAAATTTAAATGCTCTAAGTTCAATTTCTTACATGATAATAAAAATTTACAAATGCGATAAAATAGAACGGAGTATAACAAGTTAACTAAAAAAGCAGTAAAAAGAATGAGCTAACAAAAATAAATAGTGAAACATAATTCATGAAATATAAGTTGAAATATTAAATATAGTTTAAATTCATTAAATATAAATTAAAATATAAAATTTGATTAAGAAATAAAAGCGGTCAAGTAAAAATCATAATGCTAAAAACAATTCCGTAAATATTGTACCTACCACAATTCTAATTCTGTAAATTGCGCGCCGAAATTATTTTCAGTCTTGAAATGTAATAAGAACTAGAATAGTAATAAACACAAATTAAACCGCTTAGCCTTTATTTCATAATTGTTATTTATATCACGGTCTTTAAAATGATATTTTAGTCAAATCTACTTTGTAAGTACAGAGTCATTCAACTTTAGTATACTTTTAGCTAACAACAGTTTTAAAGGGGAATAAAAATAGTATATTTTTATGTTTCTTTGATATTTAAAAAATACATGTATATATATCTGTGTGTGTGTGTGTGTGTGTGTGTGTGTTATAAAAAAATACAATAATATAAAAAATAAAATAAAAATTATGATTTTTTTATTTATTCATATAAACTATTATAAACGATCTCTCTCTCTCTCTCTTCCGTTTCTAATCTTAAAATTATTATTGTTTCATTTACATAAAGTTGAAATTGGCTTTTCTCAAATATTTGATTTTTTTCAATATCTTCAACTTAAAGATAATAAATTAGATTCAGACAATTGTATGTTCTATATATTTGTTATATCGTTTTTATCCTCAATAAAAAATGATTCTTGAACAAATTGAACTACCTCTACATAGTTTAGTCGACATAGTTTCTATTTTTATAGAGTTATAGATTATCAAATTTTTGTCAAAAAAAAATCCGAAAGTGCGATGTCCGAGTAATAGACATGCTCTATTTAATTACATCGGAGATACTGCAATTGTAAGATAACTTCTTTTGTCAATGAAGAGCGAAGCAGAAATCACTGTGTCAGCCAAGACCATGATTATCGCGAGTAATTATCGTTATCATTACCCGAGTGTCGGTAATTAATTGTCAACATTTAGGGGTCTGAATAATGGGCATCTGCCTGGGTATTTATATCACGACGCAGCCAACCAAATGTTATCTCTATTTTGTAATATCGAGCGTGTCATTGTTCATAATATGTGCAGAACATAATTTAGATAGGTATATCATATGCAGTTGGACATATCCAAACTATCAATCACGCGACACATATGATACTAATGTCGGTAAACACTATTATGATAATAAAAATAATAATGAAGCGCAAATGCTCTTATCCACAAGATACAAGAAAAAGCATTTATTATTTAAAATAGAGAAATAAAATAAAAGTGCATTTTATATTTTGCATGAATAACCTCATTTAATCTTATAATGTTTATATAAAATATTTCATGTATCCGTATAAAAACTATATATATTGCTAAGTGTTATAGATTTCCCCTTCCTTGAAACAGAATTTAGTATTTCCGTTCGTATATAATGCACACAATACCGTACAGGTGTAGTACATTAAAATCGGATGAAACGCATCCGCGAGCATAATCGGTTATATACGGTTAATCAAATATATCGCACGCATGGAATACGATCTTCAATGTGTAGTATTAATTATCAAAGATTAATCGATATTAATCGAGGCATTATTACGCAAATTTGCAAAATACTAATTGCCAAATTGAAACCTATTTTTATTTATAATTTATATGTTAATGCGCATAAACATTGTACATAATTCATATAGATTTAATTCAAGCATGTTACATGTATTTATAAAAGATGTGCTTATAATTTATTATTATTTTTATGGTAATTTTATTATGTTTTGAGACATAATAAGAAAAATATTAGACAAAATGATATTGGAAACTGTTATTGCATAAAACTGTATAAAAATTGAAAAATTATTCCAAAAACAAATTCATCATTTCTTATATAAATTGGAAAATGTGGAAAATATTAACATCCTATAATTTAATACATGGGAAATGACGTCCAATTTTTTAATAACATCAATTCATGACATAAACATTATTTCATAATTATTATACTTTATTATTTTCGATCTATAACTATCGATTTGTTACAATATATCTCGCATGAGATAGATGAAACGAGTTAAATCGAAAGTTCTGCGTTACTTTCTGATTGGGTCTACGTTTGCCGTATGGGAAGACCCATGAAAAGATAACACCGTTTAGATTGGAAAACTTCGGCCAGGATTCGAACATTCTGGCACTCGCGGGAACGAATAACCTGCAGAAAGTAAAAATCGTCCGGGTCATTCATTATCACGAGATCGACACTGGTTCAATCTTTTCTCGGGTGCGTTCCGATTCGGATCTTTATCTTTATGAGAATGATTTTAGTCCACTGTTGATCTTTATATTCCAGTTTACGTAACTTCTTTTTCTGTTTAAAATCAATAACAAATAAATGTAAAAAAATTATTTAAATATGATAAATAATTAAAATAAACAATTATAAGAAACGCAAAAAAAATAAAATAATTTATTTTATATAATTGAAAATATACAGGGTGTGTGTTTCAAAAATATGTCGTCAAACTTTAACAATAGGATATGTAACTGTTAAACATGAGTCCGGAAATATTTAATTTCCATATTATAAATATTTTTATGTATAATATATTCAGACAACATACTTCACATCAACAATCTGCAGATAACAACTTATATAACACTTAATATGCATAGTATAACCAGGAATTCTCATTCCTTAATCAATAATAAATTCCAACTTCTTAACAAGTGGTACAGAAAGTATCACTTCTTAAAGCTAATCATATGTATATAGCAACATGTAGGGTAAGAAATGTGATCAAACTCGGAACTCGTCGATCATTAATCGACCATGCAATGAAACCATGTGTAGCTCCACATAAACAAAGATCTTAAGATGTTCCTATAAATAAAAATCCGTGAACGGAAGGTGAATAAAAAAATAATCCACGAGACATCAATGCAAGAGACGTATTGATGCGGAAGGAAATCATTTCCAGCAATTTTTTAAATAAATTGTTTTTAATAAAGTCTGTTATAAATAAAAAATGTTTATAATTCGAAAAAGAAACATTTCTGGATTCACGTTCATATGACTTTTTCCATTTCTTTACAGTGAATAGAATATATTTTTTTGTATAGATAAAACTATATAGAGATAAAACTTTAGACAATTTATAATTCCAATCAAATTCGGAAGAGAATTCTATTTATAATTTTGCGTATCGAGTAAAATAAAAAAACATTTGAAAGAGAGAGAGAGAGAGAGAGAGAGAGGTAAAATTCACATATATATATATATATATACAATATATACCAGATTATACATTCATATTTAGAATATATGTATTACACACACGCACACATGCACACGCATACACGCACACATGTACACACATACACAAAATTAGAAGTAGAATTTTATCTTGAATTTGGTTCCGAATTATAAATCGTTTAAAATGAGCTTAAATAAATAAAAACCAAAGCAAAAATTTGTGTTTTTTATTTATTTATATTTTATAGAAAATATATTCTATTCATTAATTAATAGATATTAAACTTAATAGATTAAAAACAATCTTTAAGTTGTTAATAATTTAAAAATTTATTGTTTTCTTTGCCATTATTAAAATTATGAATGAGACGAATAATTAATTTGAGACAATAATCAATTAATTATTATTTAATAAATTTGCTGATTGAAAGACTGGAATCGGAGAATTAATAGCTTCTTTTTCTAATTTAATTTAAGTCTTTTGCTATGTAACAATACTTAAAGAACTCGAATTATAAGCAATAATTTGTTTTGCAATAATAGCACAAATACGAAATTTTACGGAAATATCAATCAAAATTAGTGATATAAAAAACATAACGTTAAATATACATATATCTCACAACGGGGACGGAGAATCGTGTATTTCCGGCCGATTCTCCCATCACGTCGTAAAGCCCAACATCGAGTGTTATATCATCGTCGACGTCGCGTGGACGCGCGCAAAAAAATTTCCTCGTCAATGCTCGTGCACGTTAAATGATATCGTCGAAAATACGATGAGGCGGAAGAGATTGATACTTCTCCACTTCGATAAATCGGACGCGACGGCCTGTCGAGGCGCAAGTGATTTTATTGGTTTTATCTCGCGCGCAGTCGAGTCGAGTCGAATCGAGTCGGCCTCGATCCGATTTTCACTCGTGTAACTCTTGATTTCGCACTCCGCCGGAACTTTTATTAAATCGCCTGATTTATTGTCGTTCCAGAGGAGTGCACGGCCGACAGGTGCAGTAAGGTGCCGTGTTCCCACGGTGGAAAATGTCTGACAACTGGAGGCGACACGGCTGTCTGTCTCTGCCCGCTCGGCTACACAGGCGATCTCTGCGAAACCCGAGTGGATCTACAGGTAACCAAATCAATTTCGAAGGAATTATAAGCGCGAACAATCACCAAACTTACGAATAAAAATGGTGTTACGAAATCTACTGGTAATACAAAGCTCCAAAGTATTTCTTCCATATTACGCTACAATTTAGCATAATCAAATGAAATTATTAAAAAATCCCTTGCTAAAAGCATGAAAACGGTTGGTTTATTTAGTTCATTACGAATAATTGATAAATTGTATTGTGCTTTATTTTTAATTTATTTTAATTCACATCTCTCTTAAATTATTTAACTAAAGATCCAGTACTAAAGATCCAGTTTCGACCGTTGTGAGTTTTATTTCTTATTGCTTGTGTATTCACATGTATAACGGTCCAATAAGATTCTTATTGTTTATTTTGATAATTTTTATATTTCTGTAGACAATATATACTAAATACACTATTAAAATTTTAATTTTAATTGCTCGAATTTTATTTATGTAATAATTTGTCTTATATGAAGCATTTACATCTTATTATTTAGCATAACGCATATTATTAAACATATATTATAGATAAAAATCTTAATTAAAAAATGTGATTATTATAGAACTGATTATAGATAAGACGGATAAGAAAACAAATATGATTTAAAGAGAAACCAGAAAAGGAAACAGATAAGACAATTATAAAATTCATTCTTTCTTTCTTGCAAATAGAAAGCAAATGCAAATTACTATATGATTCACTCTTAAACTTGTTATTGACGTGAATATAGACGTTTGTGGTCTTAATTTAAGTTTTAGCAATTTTCGGGTACCTCGAACGAATATCGCAAGACGCTGTTCGCATGTTAATAATACATTCACTGCACTGTATTTCCGTTGGAGGATTTAGAGACGTTTTCATCTGACACGTTTCATGTTTTCGGATTTATTTAATGCATATATTTCTTGCATACGATAATGCTAATTTTTCTTAAAACTGACTTTTACTACATAATAAAGTGCTGTATAAATTGATAGAAGATTGAAAATACGATTAAAAATTATTCTTTCGAAAAACGAGCATTTATTAGATATTTCCAAAAATGTATTTCTAATTGGAGCCGTTTGAAAACAAACTATGAATTGTATCATTCAATAAATCTAAACATAATTTGTAACAAAATATTACGATAATGTCATGTATTTTTTAACTTATTCGTTTTACTATAACATCATGATATTTCTGTCCATATACACATACACATACAATCTGGCGTATATTGTATAAAATTTAATGATACACAAATTTCTCTCTACTTAGGAATTCATACATCAATCATATCATGTAACAATTAAATTCGTGGACAGAAATCGAATCTAAAAATTTTTATATCTACGCGATTAGTCAAAAGCATCTTAATATAACTTTAATTAAAAAAATGTTTTTCAAAGAACATGTTTCAAAACTCATAAGAGCTGCAATATACAACTTGGATCGCTTCCTTGTACTGGGAATTGTATCTATATTTGCAGATACAGAGACAACGAACGTGTTTACATCATATCAGACATGACGTTGTTATGCCATCACGTTACGAGATTTAATGGATTATACGCAGCTTACTTTAATCTAAGATCCGATTACATCGATCGAAGAGTACGAATCGAATAAGCTTGACTTAAGCATCAGTTGTCTCTTTCCAGTTTAAATTGTCTCTTTCTAGATTAAATTCATATCTATCGTGAACGAAAAAAGTGCATTTAATTCTTTCATAATTTCTTAGCAGTTCTTTTTTGACAAGAATATCACAAGAACTGAAATGGTAAATGAGATGAGTCATAGCTTATTCGAAAGGAGAGATAGGGAAGAATTGAGTATATTAAAATTGTAAAGGGATTTAAGTAAATGGGCTTTAGTTTTTTAGGTTGTTAAAGTTAGATGCTAACAGTCTATTAAGCACCGAAATTTTATCGCAGCAGTGACTGATTGCCAGTCTCTACTTTTTACACTCATAAAAAAGATTTACGTATATTTATAATTTTAAACTGTTTGGAAAAATTTATGAGATTTGAATTTACAGGAAATTTCTAATATAAAAAATTTACAACAATGCGACGGTTCATGACATTAAAATAGTTTGTATTATTATATTTTATTCAAAGGTCGTCTCATTATTTTCGCATGAAATACTGTGGCCACTCTATTCCGTTTAAAAAGCCGCCCTAGGATATGCATTATTCCGCTGCGTTAATGTATTGTCGCAAAATGCGACGCGACATGCGAGAATCGATCGCGTCCACTCACTTCGCAAATGACGCGTTTATCCGCGCAATAAGCGGGCAGCTACGAGTAATTAACATCCGCGCCGCTAATGAGGCGGTTTAAACGAATAGAAAGGTATAATTCGCGCACCAATATACATGTGTGCACATATACATATATAATACATACATAAAAATACTTTAGACCGAATAATGTTTATTGAAATCCTCGCGATTTATATCAGTTGGCTTAATCGAGCGAACGTCGCCACATTTGCCGGAAGTCACCGTATGCGGTTCGCCCGCGCGTGTGCACGGTTTCTCGCGGATTATGCGCGGTTATATATACGATATCGATTATGGCAATGGCGGAAAGCAGAGGGATATATTCACTCCGATATGATGAAATTGGTATCGGCGTTCAACCGATATTACTTCCGACACGAAGCGGAATGACACCAAGTGCCAAGTTATAAAGATTCATTCACATGCGTCAGTAACGGCTCACTACTTTATCTTCAATATCAGTGATAGCTGTGTTAAGATTAATTTCCTGAGGAATCAACCAGACTGTCCTCAGCAAATGTAAAAGACATATCTACGTTATAACTCTATTGTTAATTACCGTTGTTAATTTATTTGTCACACTAATTTATTTATCACATTGAAAATGATCCAACTAGGATCGAAACGTTTGTTCACCTTCTTATTGTCAAATTATATTTTACGTTTTTAATTTTATGACATAGTTTTATTTCAATTTTTTTAACTATTTATACAGTTTGTCAATTTATGTTTTAGGCTCGTAGCCCTTTTTCCTCTTTACTTATTTTGATTTATCGAGCCTTATTATTTTTCTAATTTAAAAGACATATGCTTTACAAATTGTGAAAATTGCTTCAACAGTTATTTAAAAAGTGATAAAAATATAATTTTTTTTAATGTACTTAATTAAAATTATTCATGGATACGAAATGATTATTATTAATGTTTTAAATTAGCAGCAGCATTTTAAAAGCTATTCTTTGTATTGTATACAATACAAACGTTTTGCGTGCAGGAACTGCAAGCCGGTAGAGAGATGTATCCCTTCGCAGGATTACCGCGTTTCCGATCTCGAAATCAGAACATAAACTAGCTCGAGAAACGACCATAAAGGGCTCGAGTTAACGAGTATCACTTCAAACTCGAAACTCGTTCTCGAACTTTGGTCTCGCCCGACCGTTCCCGAGTTTAATTCCATTAACGTACAAGCGGAAGAGATATAGCCGCAATAACCAAATGTCGCCGGAATATTGTCGTAATTTACGGCGACGACCATTTTTGCAACATCCGCCGAAAGATGCCACCGGATGCCGAAATAAAACGCTAATGTCAAGATAAAATTAAGCAATTCAAACGGCATTTTATCGTAAGAAATGCGCATGACACGCTTTATTGGATCGTTTACGTGAAACGAGAAAGATAATACTCCTTCCAGCGTAAATAAATAACTAACGAGTTTCTTTATCGAAACATAAAAAAATTACGCTAAGTTCTGCTATTAAATTTTATAAATTGAGATAAACAAATAGAATATAAAATTTTTATAAATTTATTTATTGCTTAAACAAATATGAAATATTAAAAAAATTTAATATAATGTTTTCATTATATAATTTTATTTTGAATTTTTATACACTTAATGTTTGAAAAAAGTATGATCCATCAATACACATAGCATTTAGGCAATTTTGAATTCATAGTTCCAATTTTTAAGATTATAACCTTCTTTCTATTCATATGCAATTTGGACAAAGTGGTTTCTACACTAAAACGAAGGACCATAAAAAGCTTTCCCAGAAATTACATGCCCAAGAGAAGGATATGTTACGCAAAAATTGTGTTCGTTAAAAAGAAATATATAAAGGAATGACTCTTTCTATATTAAAAAATGCACCAAATAAAAATATTATAAAATATTATACTGTTGGTTTTTTTTAAACTTCGTAGCTGTATAGTTACTTATATTTTTATATCTTTATTTATTACTCTTTTACGATATTTCCGTTAATTAAGTTTGTATCTCAATAATAAAATGTATAAAGTGATGTGTATTATTTTATTTTATTGAGAAATAAATTTAATAACATCTTATAAAAAAATAATATTAATATATACGATTTTGTAAATTTGTATTATATATATATATATATGTATATATGCTCATATTATCGATGCTCATATTAGCCTCAGAGGATAATATGAGCACTGGGCGGATAATAAAAGCACCCGCCACCATTTCAACATTTGCATTAAAATAATCAATTTCAATATTAAGATATATAAAACACCAACAAATCTATCAATATATATATAAAACATTTTATTAGAACAAATGCCAATCAAATATTTAGTTAATATAACCAAAAAATAATGTTACATTTACATATATTTAATGAGTATTACCACCTATTGCTAGCAATATTGCCAAGTATTGTTAATGTATTGTTATGTACTACTATATGTATTGCTAGAATATTGCTAATCCTGCTACTATTAGTTTGTATTGTCTGTTTTATTACTATACTATCGCAATATATTTCTCAAGAAATGTACACTGAGTTGTCATAGTGGTTGACCCCAAACTCTTTTTCAGTGTACGATAGGGAATAATGAAGATACTCATAATACACGATCATGCACACCTATCCAAAAAACTTCCGTCTAATAAATCAATAATGGTCTCAGGAAGTTAGAATACCTCAATAGTGTTTATCTTACAAATATTAACAAATATTAATATTACAAATATTAATTTAGATCAAACGCAGCATATTGGAATGTTGCGAAGACAAATGCATCTTTTATAATAATTGACACTACTAGTACCAACTGTTACAGAAATATATAAAGGGTGCTCATATTATCTGCAGTGCTCATAATACCCGATCCTATCTTAATAAAATATAATCTGTTGATTATATTTTTAATTGTATTATTGAAAAGCATAAAATCTTTGGATTATAACTACAACATAAAATCTTTGAATTATAACTACATGAATAAAAAATGTTATCAACATTATTATTTATAACCAAATAATATTTAAATCGCATAAAAAATAGATGCGCTATCACATTATTTATTTCTACTTAAAAAATAGATATATATATTCTCTCTCTTTATGAAATAAATTTGAAATATTTATTAGTAATATACGAATACATAATTAAGAGTTTAATAAAATTAATATGCTGCATAAATGCAATGGCACATGGATGGCGGCAGTATGGTTGGTATGAAGTACTCCATACACTGAATGATTCAATGTATGGAATTCCATGCACTGAATTTCATATCTGTATGATATTTATGATTGATCGAGGAGAAATTTATAAATTAGAAATTATAATTTAGAAATTACGAACATGCGAAAAAAGGCACTGCATTACTTGAAGGATGTAATACAATTTTTACGTGACAATTCCGAGAGCAGAAATCTTATACCAGAATACATAAAATTTATTCGCGTTCTTTTAACAATTCCTACATCAACTTGTTCGAATGAAAGACCATTTTCTTATTTAAGACATTTAAAAAGTTATCTTCGAGCGACAATGAAAAAACGTAAATCATATTGCAACACTGTATGTGCATTTATCGAGAAATGGTTGATAAATTAAATATGGAGGAGGAATTATTCATTAATAATTTTATTTAAAAAAAACTAGAACGACTACTTTGGCCATATAAAAAAGATATGTATGAGGAAATATATTTATCCTCTCACCCTCCTCTTCTCTCTCTCTCAATCTATCCTCGGGAATTCCATACACTTCAATGAAAAATTTTATACTTCATCGCCCCTGCAAAGGCATTTTTTCATTACAACAAAATTAATACAATCAACAAAGTATTTATTGTCTTCAAAGATCAAACGATTATTCGGTAATAAAACAATGTTTAGTTTCAATGGCGTTTGTAATAGCCGACGTGTGAAATCATGTCTACTCGATAATGCAGCAGGACACTTCGAAGTTCAAAACCGACTCGTAAAAAATTCGTGAACCCATCAACGGTCTTTGCGCGCCACAGTCCGCAGACTGCCATGAACATCAGGAGGACATAAGCCGAACAGAAGGACGATGTCGTAAGCGGTGAGAAAGGGTGTTCCCCGAGGGATCTTACGAGAGTTGCTGGTCTTTCGCATAATACAAGGTTACTTCTCTCCTGGCTATCCCGTGGGAACTCCTTATCACCGGGACGTAGCTCTTACGTAGCAGGAAAAGGAAAAGGAGGCCAACGAGCACATAGGCGTCGTGCGGAGGTGGAAATATCTTAAAGGAGAGCATACCCCGCCTAACTTAACAGCGCTGTCAGGATTCCTTCCGTTTTGTCGTAATTAATTTACGCCGCTCTCGTGCCGTACTTTGAAAGGACCGTTTGCACTTTCGTTCCTTTGATTTTTCGAATTTTTCACCGTCCTTCTCTACGACTCGACGAAAAGTACACTAAAAGATCTTTGAGCGCCCGAGCAAAGAAATCGAATAAGTATCAAGCAAAATGGAAAGGTAGACAGGAAATGATATTCGTAATGTGATTTATATGATATAATGGATAATTTCATAATTCAGATGTTATAATATTTTTTCGATATAAATATAGAAAAGTAAACAGTTTTTTTATTAAGTAAAGTTTTAATGAATGTTTGAAATCAATAATAAAATTGTAATTAATTTAGAGTAAACTATATGTGTATATTTTAAAATAATACTATTTCTCTCTCTCTCTCTCTCTCTCTCTTTCTTTTAAAAATCAAATAAAATTCTCAGTTTGATGAGAATAAATAGACATATTTTCGTAATCTCAAAAAATATAAATTCTTATTTATTCTAAAAAATAATATTTAAGATATATGTGTATATATACACGCACACACACATATATATTAGGTGTTGGAATTAATTCGTAGCGTTTTACAAGTGATGGGAAGTACTTTCATTAATGTATTTTTTAATGCTCATGTGAAATAAATAACATTCTTTCATTAAAAAACGCTACGAATTAATTCCAACACCTAATATATTTTATATATATCTTGTACGACTCGTATATTTATAAATATTTCTAATTAAATATGTTTGTATATCAAGAAGAGAGAGAGAGCAGACATCTCAAACTTTTATACTTGTTATTTTAATTCAATATTTAAGCTCATGGAAAAAAATTCATGTTATCCAGCTTTCTTTCTTCTTTATAGATATATGATTTAACGTATTTTTAATAGATTTATTTCTTATTAATCAAGTAAAAGATATAAAGGATATAAAAATCAAATTACGTAAAATTTTAAAATAAGAGAAAATATATCGCTCAATCTCAATGATGTATTTAATGATATATTTAAAAATAAAAAAGGTAAAATAAGAGAAAATAAAATTATATAATACTATAAAAGTCATAACATACATATTGATGTTTCCCATTTGAGTTTTGCGAAATGTCAAGATACTATAATTCGTCGTAGGATCCTACACGAGCGTTTGCATTTCGCATTTTATCTTGAGAGGTAACTGACGTAACAAACAATTATCAGCCAGACTCATTAAGACGGAAGCAGCGCGTTTCGACCTCTTACTGTTCTTAAGGCACTTGGTGAATGCAGCTATATTAAGGATTATCCGAGACAGTGACATACAGCGTATTTGCATTCCGATTTACGAAAAGCACAAAATCCCGCACTGGCCGTAAATTAAATAACAACAGCTGTTCTCTACTTTATGCTTGACGACGAGAAGAGTTATTATAATTGCCGCAAGAGAAATGTGTGGGTGTGCGTGTGCGTGCGCGCGCGAGAAAGAAAGAGAGAGAGAGAGAGAAAGAGAGAGAGAAAGAGCGAACATGTACGTTTGTAATAACAAAAAATATATTACTTAAATCTATTACGATTTTAAAATTGTTATGAATGAAGGAATAAGTAATACGAGAAAAACGTTTCCAAATAGAGCAAAAAAAGGAAAGAAATACTTTCGTGATAATACAAACGACTTTCTCCCACAAATATTTGTAAAAACTTTTTTTAAAAATATTTTTCATTAATACAATTACAAGTATAGAGTAACAAGAATAATTTAATTAAAAAAAAAAAACTCGCATCAAATTAATCGAACAAATCAATGTAATAGAAAATTAATTGATACGACAATAATTAATTATATCTACATTATGGTATATTTATTCATACTATTGACATTTGTTTCAATAGAAATGCTTATTATAATTCTCTCATTTATGTAAATATTTATTCAATATAAAACGATATATATATAGAGTAAATTAAAATAAAATTATTTCAAATTTACTAAAATTCTTTTTATAAATTATTTTTTAAAGTATTTCTTCTCTCTTTCTACAATGCATATTTAGTTTATAGATAGTTTTGCTACAATATAATAGTCCCTTTTGGAATACCATACTTACGAATACGTTAAAGTCTCGTGTTCTCGGGAAGTATGAATTATCACTGCAATTTCCTCCTTAAACTTATATTATCGTTTACAGTAGGTATACATACACACGCAAGTATGTATAATATTAGCTTTTTGCATTCGAAACATTATATCACAAGAAATCTCAAGTAACATCACATTTCCAAATTTAATAATGAAGATGGAAAGATTATATCTATCTATAATATCTTTTACAATTATCTATTCTTTTGTTTTCTATCTGTATGTTTGTTACATTTTATATTCTTTTCTCTATTTTCTGAATTAAAATTTATTGAACAAATTTGAATTTAATTTTAAATTTAATTTTTAAAAAATCTGTTACACTTCTATATGTAAGAAATGAAATTCTTTATTCTGATAATTCCACATTGATTTCAAATATACTGAATCATTTTTTTAATCCTTGATTTTTTGAACAAAACTATTAAAGAAATCATTTGTTCTTTAATTGTAAACAATGCTTTTTAAACTTAATTTAATTCTCAATAGATTTTAGTTTAGCGATTTGTTAATTTTATTAAAGAATGCAAATATTCATGCTGAAAACTTGCAACAATTGATGATCTCTCTTGATTTATCAATAATCAAAAATCAAACGCAAATTAATCGAAAATATATAGTTTGCCAAACATAGAGGACATCCTATATTTTTTATGCTTGCCTACTATCGTTTAAAAAGCATGGAACCTACCAAATACGATGCGTTCACCAGTTCCCTCAATGGCAGGCGATTAAGGGCGGGTGGCAAAAACGAGAATGCATTTGCCCAGTAACGACATTTCCATGCAATCTCAGACCACAACGATGTTTTATTCCCACAGGTTCCATCCTTCAACGGATCCTCTTACCTACGTTATCCGGGATTGGCGGACACGTCGCTGTCGTGGCTGGAATTGTCCGTCACGTTAAAACCGACCGCGCTGGACGGCGTGATACTCTACAACGGCCATCACAGCGATGCCACCGGTGACTTTATTGCTCTCTATCTCTCCTCGGGCCACGTGCAGTTCACCTTCGACCTCGGAACAGGACCTGCCACTTTGAGGTAAGCCGATGGCCCTCGACGAAGTTTCAGCAAACGGTTCCGCCGGGCGTATCGAACAGCTCGAGGTGACAATCCACCTTCGGAGCTGGTCGTTTCGCGATAGACGCTGTTATTCACACCGCGTAACGTAGCGTTGGCGACAGGATACTAATTGCATCGTTTGCGTATGCATCATCAGATAATTAAACCGATAACTAAACTGAAACGCGTGTCGATATCGTACGCCCGAACTTTTTGTGCTACCTGCTGTTTTAAGAAGAGAGAGTTTTTTTAATGCCCTTTAACGCTAATTATTTGAATTGATTTAATTTATTGTTAATTAACGACTAATGAAATCATTATTAAATAAAATTGTCCTAAAGCTGTAACTGTTCTCTTGGATAAACATCGGAAATATTTAACGAATGATTACATTCAGGCTATTATATTCTTAATATCGATTAACATTTTTAAAAAATATTTTGCGATAAGTGGAACATTAATAAGCGCTAATACTAATCGGATTATTGGATTTAATTTGTCGTAATAGTGAACAAATAAAATGATTAAGTGAAGTCAATTAAAGCTGACAATATATATATATATATATATATATATACACATCTATGATAATTATTGCAAAAATTAAATAACTGTTTCTAATAATTTAAATATCAAATTATTATATTTTTTATTATTGAACGTAATTAAAAATATGATATACGTAAAAAAACTTCACATATTAAACTTAAAGAAATTTCTTTTGAAAAAGAGTCTTTGATTATAATATTAAAAAATTGTAGATATTATGTTATAGAAATGCGAATACATTTAAAACAAAAGTAAGTAGTAAAACTGATAGCATTGTCATCTTATCAGGATTGATTGTCAAAAAGTTAAGAATTCAATAAATATATGGCATAGCATTCTCTTCTTTTTACTAGATTGCTAATATAATATTAAATTGGTGTATAATAAAATGGTTTATGCCGAGTCGTGTATATTACTTATGTTGTGTTCTGATATACATACACCATTACTGAAAATCTATGGTATATGTAACGTGCACTATAGATTTTAGTACTGTATATTGCACGGCCTTACAATAACTTTTAAGAAAATGAAGTTGGTAAATAAATGTTTTTATCTATTTTTTTTTTGCTTATTAATTTTTGGCATTATCAATCACGATTTTCCTGTTCTTGTAAAAAATATGTCTTATAATTTTTACTGTAGTTAATTAATCATTACTATAACAAAGTTTGTAAATACTATCTCTTTTATTAAAATTGTCCATGTAGAATAGATTGATTAAAATAAGTGATAACCAATTTTAATCTCTTCATTAAGAAAAATATTTGATTAAAAATGAACGAATCAGAAGATTCTGATTATATCACTACAAATTCCAATTATTTCAATTAGAATTCTAGGTTTAACTAGAAAAATTTTGATTCATACATTTTCAACCAAAATTCCAATTAATCAAACCAAACATTTTTCTCAGTATTTAGATTAACACGTTTTTTAAAGAATATATTTACGAATATAATATTTCATATAGACATATGTTTTTTCATTTTTAGTATAGAAACTATGGTAACGAAAACAAATTATATATTTTATAATTAAAATAACCATTTGCTTAAATTCATGATTACTATTATTGAAATGTAGAGCATTAAAATAAAAACTCTATATTTTATATGTTTTATATTCACAAAATATATGCCAAACCTGGAACGTGTGTCAACCCTTCGTGCAATGCTGATTATGTTATCATATTTTTGTAGTTTTATTTAAAAATAAATATTTGTATGATAATAATTCAAGAGTAATATTTTTTTAATACCTAAGAAATGTAGGGACATATTACAACATAATATTTCAAAATCTTATGTCTATTTTTTTCTAAAAATCATTAATCAAAAACTGTGACAACCAGCCCTGGTCATCCCTATTGTAAATATTTTTTCCGTATAAAGAAACATTATTTAGAAAATCAGTATTTTATTTATATATGTCTTACTAAAGATTTTTATATCAAAATTTAAATTAAAAATAAAATCGTTTTTACAAATGTAATTGTGTAACCGTTTGTATTATAATATTAATATAAAATTATTCAGAATGTACTCTCTCTCTCTCTCTCTCTCTCTCTCTCTCTCTCTCTCTCTCTCTCTGCTGAAAAAGAATTTTGTGAAATACTTCGCATTCGCATTCTAACAGTTTGACTATCAAACTACTTTCAATTCCATTGAATAAAATCTAAATATTGGAATATCCCTTTATACTTCACAATCGAGTAAAAATTTTAGACAAATCGATAATTCAAAAACGACGCAAATACTGTGTTAAATTTATTATATGCAACATATGTTTGTGCTAAACAAATTTTATAATATATCATATGTGTATTATATATAATTGCGTACATATTACACAATTTATTCTTTATTATTTAACGAATTTTTAATCGGTTTTCTTGTGAAAGCATCAGGAGAGATTACGTCCAAGTCCTCAAAATTAAATGAACAAGTTCTCAAAATTAAATTTTAACAACTAAGCAACATCTTATTAAATTTTAACAACATGTTAGCAGCTTCCAGTTTTAAATTGTAAGTCTGTCAGCGAAAATAGAGTTTTCGTAAAATTAAACAAGAAAAACTTAAACTGCGAAGAAAGATCACTTAAAAAGATAGAAATTATTGACGCCTCGATATTTTAATTTTAAAAATTATCGATTTTTGAATCAAAGATTGCTAAATATTAGAAATATTCTTTGTAAATACCATATAATTTATCATTTTTGCGTGTTACGAATAAATTTATAACACACACATGCATATATGAATAATTTTTATAATGTAATATTCTATTAACAACAATTTCCTAGTCATGCAGAAACATTTATATGCTATTTATAATTCAGTTCGTTAGATAATAAATCTCATGCAAAAATACATTTTCTTTTTGCTAAATAAAAAGCGACCACTAGAAAACTCGGACGCAAAAAAACGTGCATTATTACATGCGCCATTAAACAAGGATATTTAACTCCGTGTCTGGAAAAAAGAAGCAGATAACAAGAGAACCTCGAAGTTCCAAGCGCGCCGTATCTTTTATCATAATAACGCCCGACGAAAAGTCCAATATGAAAATTTCCGACTCCATCGTTCCTTTATTAATTAGCAATTTATTTCCCGCTTACAATCCCACGAATCTTCCCTCCCCTTCTTTACCTGTGTCTGTCCTTTCGTCACAATTCGACATTAATTATGCAAGAATTTCTTCTGTCGAATCTTCTTGGGGAAAGGAAAGTACCGGTCTCCGTCTACGAGGGAGAATCCATTGTCTACGGAACACGCGCCGACTTACCTTGCGAAATTCAAATTGAATGATCTGACTTTGTGGCTGCGAGCGTAAAGTTTCCGCGGTACGTGCGCGAATTTTCGTTCCTCTGTACGCTTCGAGGAAAACTCCAGACTGCCTGCCTGGTTGACTGGCTGGCGCGGCTTCCCGGGCGTCGTCGTTGCAAAATCAAATCGATGGAGCGTCCGTCAATATCGAGTTAACGTCGATTATAATTGTAGACGTGAACGAGAGAGAAGAGAGCGGTCGGCGTTAATTGCTTCGCACAGGTCCCGCGACGAAAGGTGCCGTTAGTTTCAATTTTTCAATGTGCAAGTCTCGTTCTAGTTTTTCTAGTGCTAATGTATTTTTGCGAGAGCTTCATTTCATGGAAAGTAGAGTTACTCCAGGCAGAATGTTTTTCAACGTTAGGATTTTCAGCGGAAGAGATGCAATGTGAAAATACGATAGATACATATGTATATCTTATAAAGTTGACGTAAAATCGCAGGGAGATTGATTTTTTGTGAGAGCATAAATAGAAGACAAAAATTGATCTCGTATGAAGATCCGTTTTAAAAAATTAAATTGTTCGAAAAATCCGTAAAAAAGTAATATCGTCTCTTTTTTTCAACCTCGAATATTCTTCAAGAATCTTATGTCATACTTCACTAAGTTAGAAGGATCATATCGTCTCTCTTGCTATACTTCATTTTTTTGTTCAGAGTTTTGATAATGCAAAAGATAAAGAAAGATTAAAATAAAATACGTATTAATTAATGTCGTATTTACTAGAAAACAAAAAATACTATTATAGTAACAAAAAAAATGAATAAACAAGAAATATATATAAATAAATAAAGAGACATTTACAATTTTAATCCTGAAAAATATTGAAATTATCTCTTTTTATTCGAAACGCATTATAGTTTTTTATCAAAAAAGTATTAAAAGCACATTTAAAGCACGTAGCTTCCAAATATTAGCAAAAATGGAAATAATTAGCAAAAATATATTTAAAAAGGGGTTTTTTTATTCTATATAATTTTTAATTAAAATAAAAAAACTAATTTTTATGCTTTTTTAATGCCATTTTATTATAGGTTTTATTATATGTTACTTTAATTCATTTCTAAATTCAAAATAATTCAAAAAACAAGTCGGCACCAGTTAAAAAATCGGATTTTGTAAGTTTTATAACACATAACATATAACTCACACATGCACATTTGTATCCACTAATTAGGAAACTTTCTTCTTTCTGTCTGAAATTTCAGATTTCAAAATATCCCCCGGCCCTTCAAAAGTTAATGATGTTGCACTTTCACAGTGATACACTGCGTTGTTGTTTCAGAAGCGAAAATCCAATTCGTCTTGGCGAATGGGTCGAAGTTCGGGTCTCCAGGACAGGGCGTTTGGCATCCTTAGAAGTTGAGGACGATCCGGCCCAGGAAATCCTGGCGCCCGGAGCGTTCACGCAATTATCCTTGCCGCTGAACCTCTATTTAGGCGGAGCGCCGTCCTACGACATGTACTCGCCGAAGATGAAAACTACGGCCAGCTTCGTCGGCTGTATTCAGACGATCGTGCTGAATAATCGCGAGGTAAGAACACTGGGATTATACAGGCTGCTCTGAAATTGCGTGGTAGATAATGCTACTGTTGGAATGCCTTGGAGTTTGAGCCATTCTGGTCTGGTAGATAAGATGTTGAAACTCCCACTTGAATCATTTGAATCTCTATCGTCGCATCGGACGATAATTTTATAAAAATCAGAATGAAATAGACATAAAGTAACGTAAACAAACACATAATATAATTACAAGTCAGGAAATTACTAGTAAGACAAGCAAATAAATAATAATAATAATAATAATAATAATAATAATAATAATTTATTATAAGAGTCAAATTAAAATAAAAAGCCCATTTAAAATTAAATTAAGCTCTTTAAAGCTAAATTCATAAAAGGCTCTCAAAAAGCTCCTTCCTTTTAGAAATATTGAGATCAAAATACCTTTAATATGAAAAAAACTGATTAAAAATTCGTCAAAACACACGACTCTGAATTTTTAATCTCTAATAATTTGTATACGAGAGATTACTAAGAGAAGCAATTAAAAGTTTTTAAAATTTTGTGTGAAGATTAAATATTTTTTTAACAGAAACATTTCAATCAATGCAGCAAATACAAGCAGCAAACTCGCTTTTCGTCATATTATTTTGATCGACCACTTTTTATTTTCATTTATATTATTGATTTATAGTATTGTTGTTTGTAACTATTATGATTTTCATCGTAGGTGGGTATCCTAGCTGAAGCGTTAGGTGGAGTGAACGTAGGAAATTGTGGGCACGCATGCGAGGCTAGACCGTGCGGCGATGCGGAATGTCGGCCTCTTCGCGAGCGATTTACCTGCCGATGCCGTCCAGGAGTACCGCACCCTTGTCCTGCACCGGATGATTATACGCCGCTGGTTCCGCCACCGGCGAGAACCAGCAACAACGCCGTTACGTCCGTGAGATACGAGAGGGCTGTGCCCAGCTTCACCGGCAGTGAAAGCTACCTACATTATAACGACGCCGATACAATGAAAAGGTGATCTATACAAAAATAATAAATGGCAAACTTCAATAACAAGAAATTCTGATAACCTTGTTACTCCGAGTACTTTAATATATATTATATTATAAAATTGAAAATTTTATAATTATATTACAATCATTTATTTTCCTGAAATTTTCCTGAATCTCAAATGAATGTTGAAAAAAATAGGTTTTTTCTTATTTTTGTGATTTTCGCTATCACGTTTAAAATTATGATATGCGACGATCTCTTCTACATGAACGTACTCATCAACTGACACATTTTCTACCCTCGTGATGAAATGTGTTAACGATCCGTTTTCGTAATTTAAAAATCCTGTTGATTCGTATTTATTGATATTTTATTTACGCAAGTGTGAAATAATCAGCAGCACGCAAAAGTTCGGTAAATGTCAAAGCGACATGTCGTCGACGTTTGAAAGCCGAGTGGGACGGTAAACAGCGTTACACATTGCACTACACAATCGCTCCTTGACCTGATTTAATAACGCTGCGTTAGTTTATCGAACGTTCGTGCGCGTAAGTGACAAGTGACAAAAATAATCTTTATTTCATTTAGATAACTTTTTAACTTACATATAGTAGTTGTCCAATTCTTTTGATAAAACTTTCGGAAAAAATGATTTTGCTGAAACATCTAAAAACTTAGATACAGATCTGAAAATAATTTTGTTGAAAACATCAAAATAATTATGTAAAATTCAATTAGTTACTAGAATATCAAAACTTTCTGCAGCATTGCTCATATTTCAGATTCTTACGTAATTATTTTGATAGTTCAACAACACTTTCAGATCTGTATCTTGCTAAATTTTCAGATACTTCAACCAAATTATTCGTTCCAGGTACAGCGCCTCTTACTTGTGTTATCATTCAAATAATATCAATATATGACCTGATTATAATATACAAAATAAATCAAAATATAGAATAGCCGTTAATAATTAAAATTGATATTATAAAGTTTAATTATTTCTCTCCAGACTGATCATTTCTCACATTATGCGTCACACTCGTCACGATTTCTTTATCTATTCTCCTATTAAAACATTCTTATCAATGTTTGCAGGATAATCAGTTATAGGGTAGACATCAATATGAGATTCCGCGCCAGTAGCAGCAGCGGCTTGCTACTATGGAGCGGTCGCCAATCAGATCCTCAGGAACAAAGGGATGAAAACGACGACTTCCTCGCCCTCGGCCTGGATCACGGTTATCTTACTCTCGCATATAATTTGGGTTCCGGAGAAGCCGTATTACGGTATAATCTCACGCGATTGGATGACGATCTGTGGCATCGTATCAGGGCCGTTAGGTGAGAATAAACGCTTTATGCGCTTCATTACTCAACCCTCCCTTCCGCTTGCGCACCTATTTTCATAATATTTATTTAATTAACATATTGATCAATAAAGGGAGGAGATATTAACAGATGTGTTATAATATTCTATTAAATATATGAGAAAATAACTATTTTCACATTTTGTTACTACAAAATGTAATGCGTATATTTAGAGGGATTTAATTTCATTATAAATTTAGTTAAAAAGTAATTAAAAATAAAAAAGCTGTGACAAAACCTAGGACGATTCAATTTTAATTTAAAAATGAATATAAATTCGTTAAAAAATTGTTAGTCAAGAAATATGTAGTTTCCATATATGCAAGTAGGATATTGTGTGAAAATGTTGTTCTATTTCCAATTTTTTATATAGCTGTGCAGCTTGAGGCTACCATTTAAAATGGTACTACTATTTCCATGAAATTTCACGAAAGAAGAATATTTTTTATAAACATTCATGTATTAATCTGCACCATTCTATATTTCGCCAAAAGCGAATAAAAAATATCTGTGTCCACCTCTTTCCAAAGTAAATCGCTTTTTATTAAACCGGAGAAAAGAAAAATGTTTATGTTCGAAATGGGTCATAGAGCAATGAATAACATTGACTTTTTCTAGAAATGAACAATGGGCATCTCTCGTGGTAGATAGTGGTACTGGTGTATCAGCATCTTCTCCGGGACAACTGAGACAACTAAACACTGATACCGGTCTTTACGTCGGTAAGTAATCATAATTTACATCTCATAATTTACTCTCTCATTATAGATTTAAATTTAGTCGTAATCAAAACATAAATTGTCATTGACAATATTTCTGTGCAAAAAGATTTTACAAATCTATTCTGCGTGAAAAGACATTACAAATCTATTTCCTCATGAAAAGAAAAAGATGTAATAATAAATGTTAAAATTAATCACACACAGTGCCTAATTATTATATTTAAAAAATTCTAAATTGTTTAAAAAATTCTTAGTAAAAAATTATGCTTTAATAAGTATACTTTTACGAGTAGAAAGTCACACTTGCGTTTTATTGTATTAAATAAATAAACCTTTGTTTATACCTAAGAAAACCAATTTGTTCATGCTGATTGAATTCCAAAGGCGGTGCACCGGATGTCGTGAGGACAACGGGAGGAAGGTACACGAAGGGCATCGTGGGTTGCATTAGCGACCTCGTGTTAGACTCGGACTTCTCCGTCGCTTTATCGTCGCCCGCACAGGCAACCAACACACATTCATGCATCCCCTGAAAGAGAGATATCCGTGCCGTCCGACGTCAGGTGGTGTTGTCGGGTCCATCCCGAAGCTAGGATATGAAAATTTAAGAATAACGTATCACACTGCGGTGAAATAACCGTGGCAGATAGTGCTCCGCGAAAGTGCATCTGTGTCTCTCGTGCATCCACGTGCGACCGCGTGTAATATCTTACGCGCGGTTCATCATTTTTGTACAGACTCATCCTTCCACAGGTGGAACTCTCGAGAAGATGGAGATCGAGTGGGTCGGCAACCGACCACCACGTCGTGCGCGGCCATCGACTGGTAGGCGGCTTTACTGTAAATATTAGGGCGATACCGCGAAAATATCTATCACTTGCCTCGCGGCATTGATCCTTGGCGCTGCGACTTCCTGTCGAGCCTTATGCTCGGCCGGCTTTAGAATAAGATTCGATCGCGAAAGAGTCGTGTAAATGAGACAACGATAATGATTTTCCGATGGCAAAATTATAAGAGATTGCGAGAAATCATGAAAAATGATATTTCTCATAACGTCGTCAAATGACTGCAATCATTCATCATTGGAAATTCATCGCGTTGTGTCTTATTTACTCGAAAGTTACAATTCTCCACTTGATCGTGCTTCTCGAGAACTGATCGAGATCATTAAGAAAGAAATTAGTTTTGAACATAACTGTTTGTATGATTTCTAAGATTCTTTTTCGATACAAAAAGATGATAATTAAGAACTTAAATATAATATATAACTGAAAAATATTAAGTATATAATATATAACTTGAAATATCGAACTAACATATCCATTTTTCACAAAAATGTCGTTGCTACAAGGGTTGAGAAAGAAAGTTATTGCAATCGTAAAATAATACTTTAATGTACAATTAAACTAAACAAGTACGACAGCTTTTCTACTTCCATTCTTTGTAAGTAATTATTATTAAGTAATTCCTCATTAAGTTAAAAAGATTTAAAAATCTCGCTCTTCACTCCAGTCTCGTTGGTATTCTTTTTAACTTATTTCTTTTTCTTTTAATTAAAATACTAATTTAAATATTGAAGATACTATTAAAATTCAAATGGGAGAGTGCAAAGCAAATATAAATTGTATGAAAAAATAGAGAAATTTATTATATACAATTTTTTTATATAATTTATTAATTAAATAGAAAAAAAATTAATCAACTACTGTGTGATGTCTGTGTTATTTTACGAGCAAAAGTTTTGAAAGAAATATTCTATCGTTAAATTTACAGTATTTCTCATTTTTACAGAATTAGAGTAACCGATGATAATTGTATTATCTTTAAAATAAGTTAACCGAAGATTATTCAAATTAAATGAAAATTCTCTGCAATTTTTGCAATCGTTTCCTGAAAAATTATCATTCATCCCGCGGTAAATTATAGGTTTTCACTCATATCTCTTCTTAAATTGAATCGAGGGAAAATGGAATGGATTAAATTAAAATTGGCAGCAATTACATTTTCGCTCGGACCAGGAAACGCACAAATTGAACTAAAACTTTCATCCAAGAGAGAGAGAGAGAGAGAGAGAGAGAGAGAAACGCCCATAATTAAACCACCTACTATTAACAATTTCAACTTTGTCCATATCTATATATTAATAGTCGGCATAGTCGCCTCTCTCGAAAATTGTTTCGTAATTAAATTTTCATGAATTAGATTACTGCTTGTACAATAACAACAATGTGTCTAATCACAACGATAGTGGAGTCAATAAAGTGGCGAGAATGCATTAATTTAACACTCTATAAAATAGAACTTCATTCAAGAATGAACTCTATAACAACGCTTCAGTTACGTAAGCGTAATATCAGGAAAGGATCAGGATTCGTAAGAGAATGTGCGTAGCATCCGAAAGAAAATGGAAGTCGTTGCACCAGGATAATGCCCGGCCGGATATAAAAATTTGACGAAGCGCGTCTCGAAGACGGCTTTCGGCCTAATAAGATAAAAATATGTAGAAAATGCAACCCCTCCGCGTCAATTTTGATTATTCCCTCCGACCGGATGTTATCTTCGACACGAAGTGTCATTATCTTCAACCTTTACAAGTTCAAAGCATTCAACATTATTGAGAAATTCGGAGCGTGTCTGGATCGGTGCTAGATAAAATCTTAATTGAAAACAAATTTGAATAGATAATTCAAATTTTTGAAAAAAAACGTAAGGAAATAAATATTGCAGAAAAATGAAAATTTCATTTCGCGGAGTTAATTATATTAATTACGCGTACTGTTCTATAATTGTAATTTGTTTTTACATTTCTCTTTAAAATATTTTTTTAATTTTTAATAACACTGTAATAATTTTAATTCATATTTTTACTGAAAAATGGTGTAAAATAAAATATTACATTCTTTCCAATATTTTTCTTAAAAAAGTGTATCGTTAACAAATATGTATTTATTTTTAGAAAAAATATGTGATTGTGTAGCAGAGTTCTATGATAAATACATTATGTTCAGCAAAATTCGATTATTTAGACGATACAGTGTCACTATTATGACATAGAAAAAACTATCTAGCACCGATTCAGACAGTATGTGCTCGCTGCTCCTATGAATTATTGCGTCGCAACTTTTCTAATAATGTTAGGATTTTGATCACGATCTTTTTCTAGGAGCTAAGTCACAAGCGCAACTATGAGCACGAGTTTTAGTTCCACGACGATATCGAAGTTAATATTGTGATCGATACGAGTAACTATTAATAAAAATAAGAGAGAGCTATGCCATGGACCAAACACCAACTTGTATCACCGTCTATTCCAACGAGAATATATAATACGTAAAATGCAATTTCAGAATGCAAAGTGCGTAATCCTGATGAAAATGTGAGACTCGCATCCTTTTATAAGCGATCTCATCCGGTGTTGGGCAAACTTTACAAATGACTTATGCAATATACGGATCTTTAACCATTTCGTCCGTATAAACGCCATATCTCAAAGATATTTTAAGACTATGATTACAATATATTATATATGCAAGAATTTACCGTTTTATGTTAGTAATAACGCAATTTTTATTTTCATTAACATTAAATACAATAAAGACAACTACAATTATTATCAGTACATTCGTATATCGAAAGAAATACATATTTAAATGGAGTTTTTGAGATTATATTTAAATTGAACAAAAATGTAAAATCCACAAATAATGTGTGTGTTTAATTATTATTATAACATACGCTACGTATACGAAGTATTTTTGATGACTTTGTATAATAAGAATGACAAATTATCATTTTAAGAAATATTCTTTTATAATTATCATTTTAGAAATATTATTCAGCAATTTAATTAATGTAATTTTTGTTTAATGATAATTAATTTGAAATTAAATAACAATCAATATTTTGTTCAACAAAGGAAAGCGAGAAAATAAGAGGATAACAACACTTTTACATATACGTATAAAAAATGAACAAATAATATCTTTATTATGCAGATCGTCGCATATTTTTTTATCTTCATAGAGCGTTTCACTCAATCCTATAAACACAATTTAGCACTACCGGTCGGAAAATCCCAGGTCAATACGTATATACACATCCTATTTCACATGGAAAGAGATAGGGAAGTAATCGATGAATTTCACTTTGTCATCGCACGAAAATGATTTTAAAATGACCTACTCAAACACACACATCATAAAAGCAATCGGCTGTAGTCAATTTTGTACGGATGTTATTTTCGGGACTAAATATAATAATATATCAAAGATGGGTGGTAGAGTCGGTAGTAGAAAATGTAATAATATACGATTTAACTGATTGTATGTCGAGAATTAGCAAAGTAATTATTGTTCTTATTAATCCTCTCACGTTTTAAATGTGCGAAGAAAAATCAAAGCATTTTTACTTAACAAGGAAAGGGTTCTTCAGATGATATTTATTATTTCAAATGTGAAATAATTTTATTTTTTTAAATAATTTATTATTATTTATTATTATTGTACTAATTGAAAGAGATTTAATATTTCAATATATTAAATAGAAATTTTAGTCAAATTATTCAAATTATATTGTACATAATTTAATATGTGTTCAACGCTTTTATTTAAAATATTTTGTTCATGCATGAAATATAGGTACTGGGTGATTTATTTTAATCTTAACAGGCAAATATTTTGAAAATATGAAACTTTATCAAAAAATGTTCTAAATAAAAATTGTATAGTATAGAGAAAGACGTCATCATTGTATGTCCCTCTTGATATCATACAACTTTTATTTGGAAATATTTGCCTGTCAAAATTTAAATGAACCATCCTCTGTATAACGCGTGGGAGGATTAAAGGCACCTTTTCTAGCGTAATTCAATGTACAATATTTCGCGTAAGTATGCATTGAGTGACTTGGGGCTTTTGTGTTCATATGTTAAATCGTTTTGTACAGCATATGTACTCTGTTTCTTCGCGTTTACGAGTAAACCCGCAGGAATCCATACGGACGCGGAGAATTTCTCGAGAAGTCCAAGTATGTTCTGCTGATTTTGTAATTGCAACGCATTCAACTCGGAAATATGGTTCCTGGACGCATTCCACTCAGTACCGTCGGAATTACTCGAAGTGTGCAACGTATAATTCGAATATTCAATAATAATATTCCAGCTGTGTGTGGTAATTATTCCAAAATGGGATTTCTCGAGTATCCGCATGCTTGAATTGCGAATATTCGGGTCGATAATTATTCCATTACTCCAAGAGCATACTCTTACAATAACAATCAGTTATATCTAGTGTACAAATTTTGAAAACAATTAAATACAAATTAGAATTAAATTAAATTGCGAATATTAATAAAAAGTATCGTTTATAATTAAATATCCGAGCGAATTTTCTCAAATCGAAATTAAGTATTTTATAAGTACTTATAATTAACTTAATACTCGATAAATATTTTAACTATAGTATAAATACCAGAAAGTTTGTTTCTAATCGTACAAAGCTTGGAATAATTAATTATGCGGTTGCCTTTCGAGCATTCGAGTATTCGACAGAATCTGATCCTAACACCAACATACGATAGTAGACCAAAGCTTTAATTAATTAGCGCTTTGCACTTGTCGTTTCGAATTTTTAATTGTGCGTTTTTCATTCAAAAATCAAAAAAGAAAAGAGTTTCATATCCATTATATATATAAGAACGGACGATCCTTCGATAAAGTATGAATGAGAGTCTTTATGAAAAAATGAATGTGATCAGAACTTTGTTTTAATGTTTAAATGTGCTATATCGAGTTAGAACAAGAAACTGTCACTTTATAAGTTGCAACAGTTTCATTTAAAAATCGGAACAATTTCTATAGGAATGGAGAATCGATCAATAAATCAAATACTCTTAATTATTTCCTTCCTACAGAACTTGATCCGGATTTATTTATAATACATTCAATGTTCTCCTAAATCTTTAACAGCTTTTAAAAAATATTTATAATTTTAAATACACACAAGAGCAATATGTTGAATATTTGACGTAACAAATGTCTATATCTAAATATAGTGAGCAAATAGTACATATTATTTTGATATAATATGGACTAATTGCTTATTGCTGCCTAAAAAATTATATATTATTTCTTTATTAATAAAATATAACGTAATTGCGTTGAGACAACTAATCCTAAAACGCGTAACAAAATCAATTTAAAATGTTCTAAAACATTCCACTAATGATCAATCACTAATAAAAGATATGACGTTTTTTTATTGAGAAAACTGAATCAAAGTCGATTGGAAAAAGCTTAGAGTGAGAAAAACGGCGTCACTTTTTTATCGATGAGATTATCTGACGATAATTAAGCATGGTACAAGTTTTTCTCGATTATCAGATAATCTAATCTGATCCCGTAAAACTGAAAAGCATCTGAATCAAATTTTTTTTTAAAGAAAAAATTGTTATTATTATTCCATTAAATTTTAATTCTTTTTATAAACATAATATAATATTTTTGTGAAAACATTTTTAATTATATTTAAAACAATATTTTTGGATAAAATTTATATTTCTTCAATAATTTTTTATTAAAAAATACATGAAAAAATAATAATTAAAATGTCAATAAATTGATATTGATATAAAAACCGTCAAAAATTATTTAAAAACCGAAAAAGATATTTAAAAAAATGTAAATAAACTAAAATAATTTATATTTTATTAATTAGTTTTAAATATTATTTATTTAATCCAATTCATTCTAATTTTTATTTTTCTATTAAATAAATTATTCGCAATATAAAAAGAATATGAGACAGTTAAATAATATCGAGATAGTTGATTTCTTAAATTAAATCCTTTTTATAACAAATTTACGTATATTGTGTTTATGTATATAAGAGATGCCGTTTTTCTGTGCAAATTTTTTTAATTTTCAGGTTTAACTCGAGTCGGTGTACCTATATTATAGAAAGAAAAAACAGACACGTAAAAATTAGTCTCGAATTCACTCTTAGAACGTCATAGTCGACAAAAGTTAATAACTATGTAAATTTCATTACAAAAGAAAACAATGAATACAATCAGACGTTCGCATTTGATTTCGAGCATTCGAGCACCGTACAAGCACTTATACATCGAAGTTGTTTCTCATCATTTTTAATCTAATACAGGATGAGCTGTTTAAACGAGAATATGGAGATCAAATATATTATGAATAAAATAGCGAATTAAGAAGCTCTAAAATTCGCGGAAAGAAATATATTCAAAATGAATTGATAAAAAAAATTAAGATTCTCCACATCTTGGTAAAAATAACTTATCTTGCGTCCCTCGATGTAATCCTGCGCGAAAATAGTTTACCTGAAATTCTACGAATTTCAACCCTTTCGCCACTTTCGTTTATTGGAAACATTCAAGAATGAATGATGGATAAATTTTTATATTCTGTAAAGGACTATGCCCAGTTTAGGCTCCGGCTGAACAGCATTGAGACCTAGCCAGAATTGTAGAGCATAAAAAAAGAATTAAAAAGTTCTATATTGCACAACTTTGTGAAATGAGTCCCTTGAGTGCTACAGCTGTTCAAAGTTTGCTATTATGACCATGTATTGTATTGTGTATCATGTAGGACTGGTTTTATTCGATTTCTCGAATCATCTAGTATCTGAAATATGTCCAATCTTGACGAAGACAACTAAAACTTTTTTTGGACCCCAAATGAATAGTTATAAGTGATATATGTTAATCGATGAAGAGAGGAGAGAAACAAAGTATGAAACAAAAAGTTTTAATTGCCTAATTGAAATGTGGGCAATATATGGATCTTATCTTTCTTCAGCTTCTTTATCGGAACTCTTTAAAATAAAAAACATCATTAACTGTTCTTACTGACATATGGATGTTTTCGTCGAAGTGTTGGGCATATACCAGATACCATACAACTATTAACCCATACTATTACCGATTAATGAACCGTACCAAATACATTTTAGATATTACTTCATTGTCTTTGATACAAGCAATCACCGCGGGGAGGTGATTCTGGACGCAGAGAAATTGGATAAAACTAGTGATACACATGGTCATAATACTTTGGATAGTTCTAACACTTAGGAAACTTCTCCTATAAAGTTGGAATTAAACTTATGGAATTTTTGATTCTCTTTTGATACCTTAAAATTTTAGGCATACCTCAAAGTTGTTCATCCGGGGCCCAAATTCCCCTATAAAACTGGGCGTAGTCATACGCAGTTTGCACAAAATAACAATTTGCACAATTTTCTTGTATTTAGAACATACATATGTTAAAACGAAAGATTTAAGGCGATTTCTAAAATCTCCTAAAAAGATGAAAATAAAACAATGCGAATTTTTCGCAAATTATCTATAAGACATAAATAATGCAATTTTTATTTGTTATTTGTATAACTGTGCAAAGCACTTTAATTCACAAATTTCAAATCTCACCACATCTTCATTTTATATGCTGATAATTTGAACACGCATGTAATCACTTATTCGCTAAGGTTTAGCGAAAGGGTTGAGGCGCGATCACAAAACGGGAGATTTTTTAGCGGCTCGGAATGATATTTGATAAGCACGTGTAATAAGGCTGACGCGTATA